TCTCTTGATCTCACTACCTCAAAGGCTTCAGTCTTATTTCCTCTTTTTAAAAAGTTAGACACAGATTGATATCAATTCAGCAAGTGTTTGAGCATTAATTGAATGATAAAAGAGAAAAAAAAACATTTCCATCCTAAAAATAAATATTATTCAAAATTAATTTTTCTCATGTTACATAGTAATGATAAGATGTAGCGTTGACAAAGTCTGTGATAAGGCAGTTTTCAGACATATTGATCTACCAGGTTTGTTCTAAAAACATGTTGGGTTCTCTTTTCTTTATATAGCATGCTTTCTAAAGGACTAAAGCTTTATTTACAACGGAAATTTCATACATACATTTGGAACAGACATAAAGCAATTTTAGAGAGGCAAAATCTGCCCATGGCCTGTATTATCACTTCTAGGTAGATATGAATACAGCCTGTGGAACACTCCTACATAAGGTCCTATTCCAGAAGAGACTGTGAAAGAAATGTATGAGGTCCAGCTCACTTCTACCAGTGGGAAGTCAGTTGGTATAGCAGCGTTCCTGTATATTAGGTTACCAAAACCCTGATCTCAGGTCCTGTAAGCAACTAATTTTTTTCTTATCCCCAGTCTTAAGGTCCATTCTTGGCCGCTCTAAGCTTCCGGCGGAAGTATTCAGGGGCAGCGTCGTACAGCCAGTCAGCATCCACCACACAGAGATCCCTCATGTAGCATTTGCTGGTGTGCAGCAGTTCATTGTACGTAACGCAGGCTGGCTTGCAATGGAAAAGGACTGAGGACGGGTGAATGGCCACTGGCTGGTGTGTATCAGTCGTGGCATAGGTGCCATCTGGCTGCAGCTCTGCCGTATTCATGAAGAGGCTATAGGCCAGGCAGCGGCGGATAGTCCCAGTATCAGAGCGGGAAGACTCCAGAGGTATTGAAAGCTGGATTTCAAGAACAAAAACACAGGAATAAAAACAAAACCAAAGCTGAAGCTTTGGGATACACCAGAGGCAGGCTAACTTTCTGGCTTAGTGGATACATTAGGAATTTTCAGGGCCCACTAAGATAATTTCTCGCAAATGTCTACCTTAGTGGAAGTGGCAGTCACCAAAAATGGACAAACTGACCAAAGTTCTCCAGGAAACCTACTCATCAGACTTACCTTGGTTTGTTTCTGGGCAATTAGACATACTTCTAAACAAGGTCACTCATTCCCATTATTTTCAAGACTGTCTGCGGGGTCTATGGATGCTACAAGCTGATGTTTTCCAACCCTGCCCTCCCCCCCCAAAAAGTGAGGCCAAGAGTTTGTCAGATACCACACTGCTTACATCTGAGTTACACCATTCTTTAGCATTAAAATCATACCTCCACCTAGAATCAAGGTGTATTTGGGAATGGGAGAGGGGTCTGGTTAACCTGGAGGGAATGTGTTCTGGACTTTGTTGAGCCAGATAGGGAGAGATTATAGCAAAGGGCACTTTTAACAAACTAGTACTTTTGTTAAGACAGATTAATCCAGTTTAGGGATGGTCAGAAAGTAGATTCAGGCTCAGGAGATATATTTTTTAAATTTATTATATCAGTTTATATAGCTGCACATCTTGCAATTGCAATATCAGGGTGATTTGTATTACAAGGGTGAGAGTTTCCCAACGGTTTAATAAAATAAAAGGTTTCTTTTGAATCAAGTTCAATTCCTGGTGACTTCATGGACACATCTATGAAGTTATTTTGGCAAAAATACAGTACTTTGCTTTTGCCTTCTTTGGCAATGATTTTTTTTTCAACTTCCCAATCTAGCCTACAACCTTGCAATTTCCAGCCAAGTATTAACTAGGGCTGTTCCTGTGTAGCCCTTTGAGATCTGTCATCATTGACAAGTGCAACTTTTTTTTCCTCATCCCAGAGTTAGGCAGCAAAAATGAAGGAAGTTGGGGGAAAGGGAACCATAAGTAATTTTTTGTACAAAAAGACTATAAACTCAAATTTCAATTTTTTAAAATCCAAAACTAATCACAGATTCTTGAGTTAAGCATGTAATATCATTTCCTCATAATTAAAAACAACAAGGAAATAGATCCTTCAAGCCTGAAGTCTGTGCACCTTTCACCTACCCTAAGCAGTTAAATGCTGCAGCAGTAACAAGAACTTGATTCAGTTAAAAACAGACATCTGATTCAGTGTGAACTGCTTTGAAACCCTCCAACAATTACCTTTATGCAAATATCCCTCAGCTGAGCTCTGACATCTGAGACCAGCATCATGTTTCGACTGTTCACAAAATTTTCTTTGCACCATTCCTAAAACGAGCAGAAAAGAAAGGAGGACAAAAGAGAGGTTACCAGGAATGCCAGGAATCAAGTAACAACTGCCTGGGAATGAACCAAGAGAAGGTTCTTGCCTGTGCATTGGACAGACGGGTCTCTTTAGGAGATCCTCAAATCTCAATCCTTTACAAACGAGGCACTGAGAGTCAGAGTCTATTTATTCCCTGTACAGGGTTCCCTGATTCAGATCTACAATGTCCAGTCATTACGTAAGACACCTCTGGCCTAATAATTCTTCCCCCTATCAGTACAACTGGAATATTACATTACCAAATATTACATATACCATTGGTATAAGACCAATGGACAAGTGTACAATTTATAGCCTGGGAATCTTGCCTTCAATTTCAGTGTGGAGTCAAGTCTCTGAGTGCTTGTCACTATCTCCCCTCCACAATGTCAGATTAATGACTCTGATCCCATTTTCAAAACTCTCATTTGCATAATACTATTTACAAAATAAAGTGCACAGATGCTGTAAGCAATAGAAAAGATATCCTCATCAGCAGAGGAAACAATAGTAAATTAGAAATGCAAGTTTATTGGAAGACAACCCACACCAATCAAGTACTCCATT